ATATATTTTTCTAAACAATTTGCTGATATATTTTATAATTTTGTAATTATAACGTTTAAATTACGCCATATATAATTTGTTTCATAAGCAAATATGAGATCTAACATTTATTAACAATATATTTAATTAATTTTAAGAGTAATTTCAAAATCTTTATTTTCTTTATTATTCTTAATGTTTTTTCATCCGTATATATTTATATTATAAAATTCTGATATTAAACGTTTAGAATTTTATAACACAGTTTATTGTAACATTTCTTTTCTTTTTTTATATCTTATATTTTCAAGCAGAATTTAATTTAAATCTTTTCTTTCCCCTACTTTAATTGTCCCATTAATTGGATCCATTCGTGAATTATTATCTCTATTTTTTTTCTTGGTTTTGTGAGAAGATGAGTTGGGGGTGGGAGGGGTTGAAAGAGAATCACGTTGAATGTTTCGAGTTAACGCGTAAAAAAAAAGAAAAAAGAAAAAAAAGAAAATGGAAAAAAATAAGAACAGAGAAAAGGAAACTAACAAACGTATAGCAAACAAACACCCTTTTCTTTCTTTAGACTTCACCCCCTTGAAGAAGGTGCAGTGTGCATTCAAACATCCATATATGGTCACTCAGCACCATACATGGCCGGAATGTAGGGATCGCCGTTTTTGTACCATCGATCCTTAGCTCCCCCATCCCTCCTTCCCTTTACTTCCATCTTCTTATTCTCTTCATCCTCCTCACCCCCTTTTCAAGAAAGATTCCTTCGTTTTCTCTCTTTTCTCTCTCATCTCGTTTAGCGTTTGCACGAAAGCCATCTCACAACCCGATCCTTTCTACTTCGCGAACTTTAATTGTCCATCACAAGAGATCTTCCAAGAAAGATGATCGTTCATTAAATAAACTATCAAAAAAAACAAAAAAAAACAAGCCTATTATATTTTTGTAATAATTATATTAATACGTCATTATATTCGATTATGCTTAACGTAAAAATTAATATCTTTTATTTTTTCGTATCATTATTATTACATGTTGCAAGATTATTTATTTGCAATCTTATATATATATATATACAATATGACATATTACACTCGATATCAGTTTTTTATTTCAGAAGTTCCTTTGTCGAGTCTCACTCAAAGTTTTATCTAACTCTTATTAAACTGATCAAATTGTTAAAATAAATTTCAAATAAAACAATTAAAAAACGTTGAAATCGTTTGTAACATTTATCTAATAATTTTTCTTAATAATATTAAATATAAATGTTAAATGTGTTAGATAATAATAAACAAAATTGAATAATAATAATTAGTCACACACACATATGTAAATCATTTAATTAATTATTAAATTATCGAATTAGGACAATATCATTTGAACTTTCTATATATTATAGAAGACATACTACAAAAAAGAATTATTAAGTTTTTATTCAAATTATTATTTCCGAAAATAAACCAAATAGAATGAAGAGAAAACAACAAAAAGAGAGAGAGAGAGAGAGAGAGCTCGTAGGTGAACCTATTATCCCGAATTGTAACTGATTGTTCTATATTAGGAACCGCATAAGCCCATTTGCGGAGGACGACGACGACGTTCTCAACTCGGTTTTACCGGCGCCATTCACGGATGATTTATTTCTTCCTAGTGACATCGAATTTAATACTTTCTAAAAGAAATACACATATACATATACACATTCTCACAGAAACCTACAATTTATTAATCTCAACGCGTATTAATAATTAACCTCAATTAATTGTGCAATATTTTCTACAATTTTTCTTTTCTTTTCTATTTTTTTTTTTTTTTAAATATTTCTTCCTCTTTCGTCTCGATCATTATTGGTACTTTGTTTTTGTTTTTTTTTTGTTTTTTTATGTTATTATTAATCACGTTCATACTTGGTGTTTCAGATCCATACACATCTGGTGAACGGTAGACCTGGTGCCTTGAATCATAGTACAACTCTTTTAGAATTTACACAAGCAAGATACGTCAGACTTCGTTTTCAAGGTCTTCGTAGAAACGGTGTTGTTATTGCCGATAAAAGAAGAGCATATTATTCGATCAAGGAAATCAATATTGGTGGACGTTGTGTGTGTTCTGGTCATGCTGCCCGGTGTCGTTACAGTGTTCAACATGGGGTAAATTATCAATCATATATTTTTCATTAACATTAATAATACTAGTAATAATATTTAAATAAACATCTACTATCAATAAATTCATTATCAAATATAAAAGATGTGTAGGATTCATTCAATAGAATTCAAATAGAGAAAGAGAGAGAGAGAGAGAGATAAAGAAGAAATAATCAAAAAGTATAATACAAAAATAACAGATAAAAATCAACGTTCGATTAAACTAATTGATCTAGTTAAATTCTATTGGACTAATTATTTCAAGCTACTAATAATAAATAGATTTGAAATATCGTATAGTTCGAACAAAACGGATTGGTACGATCGAACAATAAAAATAAGTTAATTAAAAAAGTGAAACAACGTTCATATATTATTGCAATCATTATATAATGATTATATATATATATAATCTCAAAATACATAATTTATATTTTAAAAAATCTACATATATATATATATATTTCTGCACGGGGGTTGAACATTTCCGTTCGGACTACTATCTAATATTAGAATCCCCGCACGCGTGCGTATTACAGAAAGAGATGAATAAAAAAAAAAAAGAAACAAAAAGTAAAAGAAAGAAAGAAAAAAGATTACGGTTACGGGGTTCATAGGAAATAAATCCGTCGTAAATGCCATAAACTTGTCAGTCCTTTGTCTGGTAGCACCGCTAATGGCAGGATCGCACGTTCCTTACTTCAAATCGTTTCGGATCTTCCCTATTGGCTCATCCAAAGCCACAAGGGACGTGTTAGCTCTGAAGTTTCTTTTACAGAATGGGAATCCAACGTGAAAAAGAGAAAGATAGTTGACACGTATCCAACCTTCTTTTGCGATCTCTCGCAAGATTCACTAACGCATTTGGAACCGCATTTCATTTTTTTTTTTTGTTTTCCCCTTACACCACCAACTTGCGGTTTTTCTTACAACTTTTACATTAATGAACAAAATGAAAAAAAGAAAAACCAACCATAACCCTCTTTACCCCCATTAGTTTCGTCACGAAAACGAGGACGTAGAAAGTTGATTCTGTATTCAATTTATTCTTTCATAATAAATCCCACCCCCACCCGTAGTTTATTTTCATAAATTTATTATATATATATATATATTGTATATAATAAATATTTATTATATAATTATACGATAAATTATATAATCATAAAAAGTTGTATGCAATATAATAATCTCATAAATCATTAATGAAACATCCGAATCATCTGTTTTTCTCAAATTTGTCGTAACTCTAATGTCGAATAAAAAAAAATAAAATTATATGAAAAGAAATAAAATAATAACGAAAAAAAAAAAGAATGAAGGCATCGATCAAAAAAGTTATATTACTATTATTATTATAAATATTTATATACATTTCTCCTAAATAATTAATTAAACATCCAAATTATCTGACTTTCTCGAGTTTTTCGTATTTAATGTCGAATAAAAAAAGAAATAAAATAATGAAAAAAGAAAGGGTGAAAGGAATCGATTAAAAGTTAATCGATTGAGTTGTAATGTCGAGATATTTCGGATGCCTCTTTGACGGTCCTCGTATTCAGCAATGCGATCGCAATTCGATCTATGCAGCGATCCGTTCGCACGCGACCGTCAAACCAAACACGCATGCCGAAAACTAATTTCGATTTATTCGATCGAAGGACACTGCCAAAAATCGATTCTAATCGATTTTTCTTAAGTAGCACGACAGTATGGGGGGGGGGAGGAGGATAGAGTGACGGTTAAAAAAAAAGAAGAAAAATTTTATTCAATTAATTTTTCCATCTACCCTTTAAGTTTGGTAATCTGCATTACAATTAACAACGCGATGTGATGATAATAATAATATTTTATTTTAAATTAAATTAAATTAACACACAGTAAATTTATATTTCGAATTCGTATGCACCGCTTATCGTCTTTCACGCGTCGGAGGATCTTTTTTTTTCCCTATTTTTTGTTTCTTTTTTGCTATACGAAATAATATTATTAATTAAAATGTATTTAATTTGTATACCATTAATCCATCTAATTAGAGTGAAAATAATAATTCGTGTGAATTTAAGAAGATTTTTATTTCCAATCAATATAATTTGTCATAATTTATTAATTTTTAATATATTTTATTATATGATAATATAATTCGATTGAATATAATTTAAATTTGTTTATTTGAAATTTTGTTTAAAATTTTAGAAGAGAATAGGACGGGTATGAGGTAAATGATTAATGATCGTTTGAAGGTGGGATTACGTTAGCCACTGAGAAAATAATATAAAAAGTAAAAAATAAAAATAAAAATAGAGAGAGAGAGAGAGAGAGAGAGAGAGAGAGAGAGAGAGAAAGAGTTAAGAACACGCAAAAGATCGACAGGAGTGCCTTTACCTCGAGGTCAAGAAAGGTTTTATTATTGTGTGTCCGAGGTATAAGCCAAAGGTAGCAAGTGTGTCTGTTCGTAGTATAGTAACTGCATGCTAACAATATGCAGTATGTACTCGTTTCGAGTGATTCGTATTTTATATTGCAGCTGCAACAAGTTTCTACCATATTGAGAAAGTATGTCGATGAATCGTCATTAATCGTAGAGATATTTGATTTTTATTTTATTTTTTTATTTTATTTTATTTTATTTTCTTTCCTCTTAGTATATTCTCTTTGGATATACCTAAATTTAGATATTTCTAATCCCAGATAAAATATTACCTCCGTCTAACCGAGCATTTTATTTCTTTTTAAAGTATTGAAACATTTCAATGTAATCCAACAATTTATATTGAATTATTATAAATACGTTTATATATATATATGATTTAAATTAGTTATCGTAATCGTAATATACTTTTTTCTTTTTTATTTTCCCCTAAACATTTGTCTTATTATTTATTTAATATTTAACTTATTGGCATAACAATATGTGTTCTATAAATTATATTATTATTATTATAATATCATCATTTATTTTTGCAATTTCACAGATTTATTATGTAATTATTATTATATATTACGAAATAAATTTCTTACGAATGAATTTTCAATACGAGATAATAATGATATTTAAAAGTAAATAGTTATTTTTTGTTTTAACTAATCGAAATCTAATCAACATGACAGCTGTCGGATTGACTTTTAGATGAGAAACATAGAGAAACATAGAAGAAGCTGAGACAGTGTTGGTAGTGTTAAGATGCGTGTGGTCTTGTCGCTTAAAGAAACTTAAAGAGAAACTAACGTTCGAATTCTCTGTGAATCATGAGTTCCGAGTTCACTCTCAACGCACGATATATTATTTATTACCATGATAATCGTTCTCTCATACAAACGTATTATACAAAACATTTATTTCTTCTTCTATCAGTTTGAAAAAAAAAAAATTGAAAAAAAATGTTTAAACAAATCATCAAAAGAAAACAAACTAATCTTTCAAGTAATTCCACTTTTTTATTCTTCCACTCGTGAACTACTTTATTTTGTATAACAATCAAAAATAATCTCATACTTTTAACAATAAAATTATATGAATTATTGTTTACGATGTGATAAAATACAAATTGTGTGTGGGTGTGTTCTTTTTTTTTAGCATCAAAAATTTTCTGATATAAACAAAACTTGAATTAATATAACGAGCCAATATTAATCCTTTGCACAATGAATTATATTTCAATTTTGTTAATACCAATATTTTCAACGTTTTATAAATATTTTATTCGAAGTTTACTTTAAATACAAAAATAAGGCAATTTAATCAGTTTAATAAGAATGGAAAAAAAAAATATCAATGTCGAGTAACACTCGACATAGAAGTGCAAAGGGTTGACATTCATTTTCGTTTAATTACGTGTTACTTTTAATTGATGATAAAACAATAAATAATAATGTTAAGTAAGCTTTTTTTCTTTGTTCATATTTTATTATTCGAATAATGAATATTATTATTGTGTATCGAATAAAAAAAAAAAATATATATATGATACGTGGTTTTATATTTTGTTGTTTAAAGCATCAAGAATGCGAATGTGAACGTCATACGTGTGGTGAAAGATGTGAAAAGTGTTGTCCAATGTATAATCAAATACCATGGAGACCTGGTACCGCGTCCAAGGGTTTCCATTGTGAGAAATGCAATTGCAATGGACATGCAACGTCGTGCATTTACGATCCGGAAGTTGCCGATAAAAGGATGTCTATGGACAGTCGGGGGAAGTTCCGAGGGGGCGGTGTTTGTTTCAATTGTACTGTAAGTTCTACTCTAACATTACCCTCATTTTATCCTTTCCCTTTTTCTTTTTTCTTCCTATTGTTTTTATTTTTTGTCTACACAAAAACAATAGAACCAAAGAAAACATTTTACGAAACCAACAATAAATTCAAAACAGTTTCTAATCGATCAAATTAATCACAGATATTATTACTTGTACTTGTGTGTGTGTGTGTGTGTGTGTTTCATCAAAATTATTCCATTCATCGTTTAAACGAAAATTCGTTAGAAATATTATTAAATAATATTAACCTGACAAGTATCGCACACGTAAATTTAATCATTAATTGCAAATTAAATGAAATATAATATTCTCATAAAACTGAAACATAAAAATTACCAACAATAAAACGTGTAATCATCAAAATATATCGGTTATATTAAAAGTGACTCAAAAAAAAGAAAAAAGAAAAGAAAAGAAACAAAATAATTAAACATCTTAATGAATAATTTAACGATCATAAACTGGTACGAAGAATGTACAGAGAAGAATCGTTAAAAGATTTTCATTAATCTTTATTGCATTTGTTGGTTGCATGGAGGAGAGAAACACAGCTGCGATTCATCGGAATAAATAAAAAGACAAGAAAAGCAAACAAACAAAAGAGTTCATTTTCTGATAAAACACGAGAACGCTTCGTCTATTTCAAAACACACATACGCACACACACACACACACACAATTAGCATGTGTATTCCTTGTCATTCATTTCGACGTATAATAAATAGATAATCCTATCATTGAATGGGAGTTCGAGTTCGCCATTTTCTGATCGTAAACAATGAAGTATGTGAACTCGTCTTATGCTTTATAAAAAAAGAAAGTAATAATAATTTATTTTTTCTGTTTAAGGAACATACATCAGGTATCAATTGCGAGAAATGTCAGATCGGTTATTACAGACCAAACGGAGTATCACCTGACGCACCCGAGCCCTGTTTGCCTTGTGATTGTAGCATTCACGGTAGCACAGGTTACTGCACACCTGACGATTCCTACACACACTTGGGAAAGGTAATTCTTGTCTTTCTTATCCTCCATATATATATATATATATTAATTCATATAATTATAATGCGGTTCTCAATAAATCTGTGACAATTGTTATAGTTTGTTCAATCAAATTAATAATCTGTATAGATTTAATTATCGAATTGTTCCAATCAGATAATTCATTTCAATTGATTTGACATAAATGTAAAAGACATTTATTAGGGTGAACCAAAAGTTCGTGAGTTTATCGTGTTGTTTCAGATAGTGTAATAATTTGTTGAAGTCAATAAAATTACTTTATATATACAAGTGAAATATTAATTTGAAAAAACGCACGCGAACACATTTGATTCACACCGTAATATAATAAGTGAGTAGTATATAACACCTATGATGTTCCAGGTAGCAGGTGCCTGCGAGTGCAAATCCGGCTATTCGGGATACAAATGCGACCAATGTGCAGCAGGTTATCGACAATATCCATATTGCATGGAATGTCCGTGCGATTCACGTGGTATACTACCGTCTCACGATTGCGAGGGTGATTGCATTTGCAAGGCAAACGTTGACGGTGAATTTTGTGACAGATGCAAGCCCGGATATTTCGCTATGACCAAGGATAATCTTGACGGTTGCGTATCTTGTTACTGTTTTGGTGCTAGTGATCGTTGTACTTCTAGCAAACTCTATTACACTATGGTAAAATCATTTTGTTCCGTTTTTATTTTTATTTTTTCTTTCTTTTTTTTCCTGTAAAAAAATAATAATACAAATATTTAAAATAAACATCTACGAAAATATATAAATCAATAATCACCGCGAACGTTTTATCGTTATTTCACATTTGATAAATGTATTGTTTTGTAGATTTCATCGTTGGAAAATTGGTTGGTAACTGATATGAATGCATCGTTGGGTGTTATACCAACATTCGACACGGACAATGGTTGGTTGACCGTGGCAGCATACGAGGTCGAGTATGAAAGTCCATACTGGTTGGCACCACGAATCTATACGGGAAATCGTATCTCGTCTTACGGAAGTAATCTCACGTATACGGTCACCTGGGTTGTCATGCGTGGCGACACTAGTGGCAAGCCTACAACCGAACCTAACGTTATTTTGGTCGTATGTATAATCCCTCTTTCTTTTTCTTTTCCTTTCTTACTTAGAATTCTCTTAGGATTGTATAAAGTGATATACGCGATTTCAGTTTTTTTCAAAGTGTTAATTGAAAGTGTACGCAATAAATCTGTGAATCTGTGAAAATATGAAATGGGACTGTTTTGGTCCTTTACCCGTTCTGTTCATATTTTAATTCTATTTTTTGTTTTTCTTTTGTTCTTTTTTTTAGGGTAACAATGGCATGCGTATAGCTTATGGCGAAGAACAGTATAACGGTCAGGAGGCGGAGATATCCGTGGCCTTGACCGAGGAAGGTTGGTACCACGTGCGTACTGAAATCCGAGACATTCCGACGAGACTCAAGAGAACTGATTTTCGCGGTGATCCTGTCAATAGAAAACAAATGATGCACGTCCTGGCTGATCTTAAATATCTCATGATAAGAGCACAGTATCATTCCGAACAAATCGAAGGAAGGTACGATGGTTCATTTTTGATCTAATGATTGTTTTAATATCGATAATTATTTTTTGATCATTCGTTCGTAGTCTTCTGTCCGCAATCCTTCCGATTGGTGAACCAACACGATCGGAAGATGGTACCGAGAGTCTCGTAGAAATGTGCGAGTGTCCTGAAGGATATATTGGTTTATCCTGTGAAAATTGTTCCTGGGGATACGTTAAAGTAACGAGCAATGGTTCTGATCATCGGGATTATCATATTTGCGTTGAATGTGATTGCAATGGTCATGCTGCTTCTTGCGATCTTGTGATGGGCGAATGCAAGGTAAGCTATTGTCGATAAAGTAGGAAATTATAATCGTTGGTTTATCCATAGTCGATAATGAATAATATTTAAATCTGTGTTCATATGGTTAAGATAAATGTTGAATTATTTTTGAAGAAAATTATGAATTAAATACTTCCTATTGTTATAATAATTTAAATCTTATGATTGTACAAAGAATATGTTATTAAAATTTCGACATTTTGTATTTTAATTCAAATATAAGGTTGGAATTGTTGAATATATCTTATATCGGTATATACACAATTCTACATTATCGATAATGATAAATGTTTAATAATTTTTAAGAAGAAATATATATATATATATAAAAATATCATACATCAAATTATTTATAAATCATAATAATATATTAAATCTTTATATTAATATCATATAAAAAATATATAAAAATTACTTACAATTTTTATTACAGAATTGCGAACATCATACAGTCGGTCCAAAATGTGATCGTTGCACGACAGGATATTATGGGATCGCAACAAAAGGGACACCAGAGGATTGTAAAAAATGTGCTTGCCCGTTATCTATCGAATCAAATAATTTCAGTCCAAGTTGTCAATTGGAAGATCCTACGGACGATAACAGTGGTTACGTTTGCACTCAGTGTCCCGAAGGATACACAGGCGATCATTGTGAAAGGTAAACAAACGGATAGAAAAAATAATTAATAATTATCACACAAATCAATCTAAATAACACACATACGTCCCAATTACAACTTTCAGTTGCGACGTTGGTTTTTATGGTAATCCATCAACCCCTGGGGGAACTTGCGAGCGTTGTCCTTGCTCGGGTGGACCGTGCGATCAAGAAACAGGACGTTGCTTGGAATGTCGTGGAAATACGGAAGGTTGGAAATGTGAAAGATGTAAGGAAGCTCATTACGGGGATCCCCTTCGTCAAAATTGTCTTCGTGAGTATCAAACAAACAAAACGAAACAAGAAGTTTGTAAGAATGAATTATACTACGTATGTTCAATTTAAAAAAAAAATAATCCCAAAAAGATTATAATAAATATTAGGCTTGTTTTGTGTTCGCAGCATGCGATTGTGACCCCATTGGCAGTAGTTCCGTTCATTGCGATCGGATGAGCGGTCAGTGTCCCTGCAAGCCTTTGTTCTCGGGTCGTGACTGTTCTTTCTGTGTTGAGGGTTACGGAAACGTTAGTGCAGGTTGCCAAGTATGTGACTGCGACGTGGGTGCCCTCAACGAACTTTGCAATCCCGTAACCGGTGAATGCAGGTGTACGGTGGGTGTTGTTGGTTCGCATTGCGATAGATGCGACATCGATCATTATGGTTTATCGACGAATGGTTGCCAAGGTAAGTGATAAATCTTAATTCAAATAATTACAAATTAATCATAATATATCATCATTTCGTATCAAATGTTAAATTATTCAAAAATAAAATATTATCAAATTGGTGGATGAATAAAATAAAAGGATTAATGGGGGAATGGACAAGGGGTGATTATTACGATCACGAAGATGTAATAAATATATAAAAAAAAAATATTTAAAAAAGTAGGAGTAATTTATGCGATATTATTAACACGGGTTGTTAGTAGATCTCGATAAAAGAGAGAGAGAGAGAGAGAGAGAGCGCTAACAATAAATTAAAGATTTTAAAAGCTCACGAGTTACGCTTACGAGAAATAACACGAGCGTATATAACGGTCGTAATTCCTGAACAAAATAACGGTGCGTTGAAAAGGGCTGTAAAATGAAAGAAAATTAAAATGAAAAAAAAAATAAAAATAAGAAGAAGAGGAAGAGGAGGAAGAAGAAGAAGAAGAAGAAGAAGAAGAAGAAGAAGGTAAATAAGAATGTGAAGATTCAAAACGCGAACCTGAGTGAGAGGGAGAAAGAGAGTGAGTGAGTTTAAGCCCGAAGGTAGAGGTTACATTTTCGATAAATTAAATAAACAGGACCCCGTACTGCCGTCATATTTGCAATTCTAAAAGAACGCCTTTGGAAAATTGCTTTTGCTCGCCGAACTCGTTTCGTATTGCATCTTCTTCTTTCTCATATTCTTTTTCTTCTACTTCTTTTCTTATCCTTTTTTTTTTTTTTTCTTTTCTTTTCTTTTTTTTTTCTGTAACCATTTAAACGCGACTTAATCAGGCGTTGGTATTAAATAATAATAATACCGAATATATTTAATACTAAATTATTATAACGTATAAGTTATCGTATATATATATATATATATTAAAATTTGTGTGCTACCTATCATAAAAATAATAACAATAATAAAATAAATA